ACTAAAAGGTATTCCTTCAGTTTATATATATAGGAATTAATGCTGTAGAGCAATTAGTGGTTTTTTTCAAATTCTTTTGTATTGAAAGAAATGAAGGAGTAGGAATTTTGTGGTTATAAATTGGTTATAGCCACAATAGCCTTTAGAATGACTAACTGAAATATCATATAGGATTTAGTGAATATTTTTGGCCTAGACTAATTATAGGAATTTCTGGGTCATGACAACTTTTTTTTGTACTTTGTAATATTTTTACAAATTTGTTAAAAAAGTACTTGTCCAAATAGACCTCAAGTTCATACACAAAATGCTAACCTTTTTGAATGAATTCTGTTTTAAAAAATATCAATGTACTTAAGAAGGAAAAGAGTTTTCCCAATAGAATACGCATTGAGAAAATTAGTTTTAATTTGACAATACAATTAATTAATTTTGATGGTCTTTTTTTCGAATCATCTACACTATCTATGCATCAAGTCTGGTCTGAAAAGTAGCTTTGAATTTTTACCAACAACCTCAGAGTTGGTTAGGGTTAGTACATATATAGAAAAGCGTTCAGCTGAGGAGAATAGTTTGCCGAATATGGAAAATTGAAGAAGATTAGCCAATATCACCAGATAGAAGGAAAGACCTATAGCATGATCCTCTTTTTGATTTTCTTCCTGACAATTTCCTGCTAAGAGATGTATCATTCGGAAATCAAAGAATATTTGCTTTTAAGCAAAAGTCTGACCTATTATGCAAAGCAAAGTTTGGTATCTGGATGGTGTATTTAAGGTTGGCAAAGAATCATTTGTCCAACTGTTCTCCATCCGTTCCTTTATAAAAAAAAAGTTAAAGAAACAAAGCAGTTCTTTAGGAACTTCAAAAACACTTACAAATTAATCAAGTTTTTCATTTTAAATCAATTATATTATATTTGTTTTTTTTCAATTTTTATAAAAATATTTGCAATCTTTATCTTCCTCTTTTGAAAATTAAGACAATTGCTTTTGTAAAATGGGAACGAGTTTTCCCGTTCCCTAGAATAATAGTACTTGCCACAAAAGCCAATTAAATGTCCTCTTTGTTGGACATATTCTGGTTGACATAAAAATGACTATCTTGTTTGAAAAGTTAGTCAGAGGGGCTTGAAAACTTTCTCTCATTTTGTTCATACCATGGCAATTCTAGATGCATAAAGGGATTGTTTGGACTACTAAAAAAACCGGAAGTTAATTTTTATACTCAAATTATAAATTTTTAACAACAAACTTTTTATATATGTAATAATTCTATATTTTTACCTTATTTGGAACTTGGATATTTATCAAACTGGAGCTAGAACTATTCCATTTGAAAACTACTGATTCTGTAGTGGAGGAAAAAGATGAATTTATTAACATAGGCCTACTTTAAATTGAACGATAATGTCAGATCAAAAACCTAACCCTAACCTTAAGACCTAACAATCAATGATTGATAAGAATTCTGCCCTTCTGCAAAACAAAAGATAATTTTCATTTTCATTTATACTTTAGTATAAACATAGACGACATCTCTAAATTGTAATCTTTATCTTCCTCTGAATTTCTTTTTTTAGCATATTAACTTCTGCAGAGAAAATGAATTAATTGAAGATCTGTTTGTGACAGAGATATTAGAATTAAAAGTATTACAAATAGTTCATAAAATCGTTTCTGTAGACATTATGTAATGCTTCTCCTTGTTCTATTTATGCAATTGGAAGTTAAAACATTACTGGTTGTACTTCAATCTTTAAACAAACATTTAATTGAAATGGTTTATTTGAAATAAAATACTAAATATAAGTATCGGAGTAGATAATCTATAATAGTGGATTGCCAAATTACCCATCTACCATCCAATGTTTAAGAATAGAAGACTTATTCCAGCTAAGGTTTTTTTTTCCATAGTCATCTTCTCCAATTATTACATGATTGAAGTGAAATGGCAATGAATTATATACTATGAAGTTTGTTCCTATTGTTGAGCTCACACATTGCTCTTAGGGATGTTTTCTGTCTTTTTGGGATATCTTCTTTCTTCCTCCTCTATTTGCATACTTCTTAGTTAATACTATACTAGTATTCATTAAAACTTCTTAATTTAACTATATTCATATTAATTGAAGATTCTTTAGCAAATGTTTCAATATCATTCAGTGTGCTTTCATCTGAAGCACAATTTTGCATATTCACAAATCTCAATGTGTTTGCTGAATTAGAATAGCTTTAAGCAATATAAGTAAATTACTATTTATATCATTATAGCCAATATCAACTCCTTCCAATTTGAAACATATTGATAACATTTCTGAAAAGAGATCACACCATTCTAGTGCTCTTTCTTGTTCATCAAATCTCTTTTCAAATCTTTCAATATTTCTCTCCTCTTCTGTGAACAAATTCCTCACTGTGTCATTATTTTCAAAAGTTAACAAATGATAAGAAATCAATTCTTCCTTTTTATTATCTTGAAAAGAATCTAATTCACTTGCAGAATTCCGCTCAATTGGCTCATCCAACTTGCCAACTTGGCCTTCAGGTAATGTGTATTTTTCAACAGATTTTACATATAGAGTTATTGCTGACTAAGCTATCTTGTTCAGCCATTTTATAATATCTGCAATGATCAAGGTACAGTTTTGTAAAGTAGAATTGGAATGTAATTAAATGTACTTACCTAGAATATGTAAAATTCAATACTTGCGGTGAGTTACTTTAAAAAATAATGATATATTTATGCAGAATGAGAAAGTATTTAAGAATATGGTTATTGAAACTCTTTTCAATAAGATCTCTTTTTTAAGATCAGGATTTTCCAGATAGTGATAAGAAATTCTTAAGTGAGAATTGTCAAAGATAATATTTACAGTTGCCAAGGAGCTTTTGAATACTGCTCAGATCAAGTTGTAACCTGTCATGGTGGTTTTCGAGAAAGAACATTTTCTAGAATATGTCCAAAAATTTTTTTTGTCCAAATCTTTCTTTTGGTTTATTTAATTTATGAGAAAAAAAGAGAACATTTGATTTGTTATTGGTTATTAGACTATGACACTCGGTTTTTTCATTTGGCTGATTTCTAATGTCCTACTAGCTGTCTGAATAATAACTTTGGCTTCGTGATAATGATTTGTATTATCTTCATCTTTACTACAGATAAACAAAGACCTTTTCACTGTTTTTAAATAGCCGATGCTTCAGAAGAAGATAGTAGTAGAATACCATATTGTATAAATATATCACTGGAAGCAACTTGAGCTGTGATTTAGCATTAGATTTCTGTACTTTGTTGTATTGTAATTGTAGGAATTTCTGCTTCTTCAAAACAGTATTCGTCCTTTCCAATCATTTACCAAATGACCATAGTACTCACAAATTGGAGAACCTTTCAAGTTCATACACAAATAGGGCGGCATGGCAAACATGTCTCACGAGATAACAAGTCTGTCTCATTAACATCTGGTATTAGCTAAGACGTAACTATTTTAGCATGCATCTTTTCAACGTTTTAGTTGGTAATTCTCAAAATACAAATCAATATGTATCACGTTCTTCTTGTCTATTTTCAACTCTGACTCGATATATGCCATTTATCTCCATATTTTAATCAGCATAATTTTTGAGCATCTTAGAAGATTAAGCAATTTTTTGATAATTTTTCCTAAAGGATATTAATAACTATTATTACCAATTCAAAATAGTTATTCAGCATGTCTTAATAACTTAACTAAAAGTTTTACCAGGTGGCTGGGCACTTTTTGCCTATACTGTATAATTATGGTAAATGTTATGTTTCTAAAGATAAATACGAACTAGACAGTTCTGCATCTGTAAAGTGATGATTGAATACCAGAGGCAAGCCTCAAAGTATATAAATCCTCACTGTTTTCATTCAAGGCAGCACATCCCAGCCTAACCATCCTAGAAGATCTTCTAGAAACAACCTTCACTGGAGCAAGCCTTCTACTCCTCAACGTAGGAAGACAGTTTTAGAAAATTTTAAATGATCTATCACTACTTAGAACAACATCATCTACATCTTCAAATGAGCTTTTTTTGGTTGTTTTGTACAATAATCAATAAGAAAATAATCATTTCTTGTTTTAAAAATCATTCATTGTAACGCCTTCGGCAAAAACTTCTCTTTGTGGTATTTGTGTATTTTTAATGATTGCATTATCTATTGGACCTTCTATTTGTGTAATACTTTCATCATCATCAGATTTGTATTTTTCATTATTCAAAATCAAAAGATCAATAATGTCATCAGCTGCTGCTTCCACTTGATTATTTGTAAAAATTTCTTCATGATCAATTCTCTTAGGAAGTGTTCTGAACTTAATTTAGAAGCTCAATAAATACATCAATTGTTGTTAAATTGCATGTTTTTTTAAGTTGTAGCCTTATAATGTATTCAGCTGTTCAAATAAGCACACTTTCAAAAATTTAATTCATTTCTTCTTTTATATAGTTTAGGTTAAAAAAACCTTGTGGCCGTTTTCTGTTGATCCCCTTCAAATGATACTCCATATCAAACTTTTAACATACCTGTAATCACTCTTGTTGTTATAGTAAAATGTAAAACATTCTATTAAAATAGAAAAAACTGGTAGAAACATTAAGAAATTTGTTTCAAATTCAGGATATTTGGTAAGCAATATCTGAATTTACTCTATTTGAAATACTTGAATGATTATCAATTTCCACTTAATTTACTTCCTTTGATAATAATATAATTATAATAAGACAACTTCCTGTTCAATTTAGGTTTTTGAATCTTCTCACTTTCCTAGTTTTTAATAATATAGAAAAAGTAAAATTTGCCAGTGAAACGACAAAACAGACATTAAAAAAATATTTATCATTGCCAAGGAAGTTTTGAAAATTGCTGAGACCAAGTTGTAAAGCCTTTCATGATGGTTTTCGCAAAAGAAGATTTTTCTATATCCTGAAAAGAATATTTTGTGTCTCAATTACAGCTACACCTGAAAATATTTTTTTCACTCTCATTCTCAATAACATACTGTTCATATCAGTATTTAAATTGGAAATATGGGAATTTGTGTCTCGAAACAAAATGTTGTCATTCCTGAAGTTTATAATCCAGGTAATAAAAATTTTGAAATTTGATCAAATTTTATATTTTGTTTTTTAAATAAAAAAGACATTGAAAGAGATCTGGCTGAGGTTCATAAAGCTCTTGAAGAGGAGTTTAAGAGTATGGGTTTTCCAACCAATATTACTCTACGTATAGCAAATATGGAATGGTATCAATTGATTAAATACAGACAAATTGCAATACCTTCTGATGTTATTTTTCCTAATCCAAATACAAAAGAAGTGATAGAAGAAGCTTGTGATTTCAGTCAGGTTGATAAATTTGTTATTAAAAAGAATAGTAAATCATTTTTAAACAAAACACCACAACAAATCGCAAATGTTTTAATTAAAAATTTCAATGATGAGACACTTAAAGTCCGAGCCTTATTTCGTTGGTTAGCGTCACTCAATCTGAATAAAATTGATTTTGATAAGTTAATGGAACATCAAATGAGATACCTTTTATACAAGTTAAAAAACAACAAAGCAACATATGCTGGAGTGTTTTTCTATCTTTGCAGGTAAATTAAATAAACAAAAAAAATAAATAAAAGAACTCTCTATTTAATCATTTTTTATTGTTTAAAAAGTTCTGTGAAAATTAAGTGCGATTTAGTTTTGGGTTATGCTAAAAGTGCTAATTATGAAATTGGAGAAAATGTAGATATGAAAAATATTAATATCTGGAATATTGTTAAAATAAATGGTTTCTGGTATCTTTGCAATCCTTTATTTGCTAGTCGAGCAATTATTCAAGCAGAAAAAAAATATTCACTAATTCAACTTTTCTTCAAAAAAAAAGATCATTCTACTAAACTAGAATATAATTATAATGAAGGATATTTTTTGCAAAATCCAGAAGAATTCATTTACAGTCATTTTCCAGCTTTCAGTAAATATCAGCTATTGGCTAGAGAAGTAACTTTACAGGAATTTCAAGACATGGCATATTTAAGGCCTACATTCTTTCAGCATAAGCTTGGAATTATTTCACATCCCAAATGTATTGTTTTTGCTGAACAGTCAAGGAATGAAATTCTTATTGGAACTAATAAAGAATTTCCTGTAAGATTTGATGGAGAGATTTTTATAAGTGATCAAACTGTTTTAGATGCTCATCTTGCACAACAGATACAAAATGAAACAATAAATCCAAACTTATATGTTGCAGCCTTTCAAAACAGAGATAAAAGCCTACTTATCATTAGGCTAAGATTACCTCAAACTGCTAAATACAAACTAAGAATTAGAGTGTCCAGAGATGATATTAAAAATAAAAAAAATAATTACCAGTGGTGCACTGACTACATTATTGAATACAAAAAAAGAGATAATATTTCTGTTCCTCCATTTCCAATGACATCTCTATATGAACTTGGACCAAATTATATAGCTAGAGAGTGTAATTTTACAAATATGTTCCCTCTACTTGGAATGTATACTTCACCAAATAAAAATTATACAGAAATTCATTTTAATGGAGATGACAATGAATATGAGTTCTATGTTATAATTACAAGCATGAAACATTCTTCCTTTTCCTTGCGAAAATATTGCATATCTATGTTTGAAAATGGTCTAGGACTCATAAGATTCTTTTTTCCATCTGAAGGAGAATATGGCATTAATATTTTTGGTCAAAAACGAAAAATTGACTATCACTGCAATTGTTTATGTATAAAATTAGTTGAAAAACAACCAGAAGAATTTTTTCCTCCTATTTGTTCATACATTGTTAAAAGTGAAGAAAATGCAAACTATACTTTAGTATTTCCAGAAAATGAAAAATCAACAATTGGCAAACAAAGACACTTCTTTAAATTAAAATTAAGGATGGAAGATAACTTCCAATCTTATCAAGAATGCCATAAATCTATTCATTTTAAAATGTTTAAGCAGATTTCCTGCCAATTTAGAATTGAATTGAGATGGTATGATGAAAAAAATGATAGACACGATTTATCTATGTATTCATTCTTTGAGAACAGTTATGAATATGTTACATTCCACATTAATTTTCCATTACCAGGAATGTATAAATTTCTAATTGAAGGAAAAGAATTAAATTCAACAAAACAATACGAATTAGTCTATAATTGCTATTTTTATGCTGTTGAACCGGATCCAAATTCATTTGAATTTCCAATTATTACTGATAAATGGAGAATTAGTGAAACTCATAGAATTATTCAACCATTTAGAAAACTCTACTCAAATGAAAAACTACTAATACAAATTGAAGGATTTAAAGCCGATGAAATGATTGCTTGTCGTATGAATGATAATGAAATTTTTCATTTAGATTTCTTTAATGATATATGGGAATGTGAAATTGATACTGGTGATAATTTTGGAGATTTAATTATCAAGGCAAAAATTTATAGAAATGCAATATTTTTTACTGAGATTTTAATTTTTAAAATATTTAAAAATCCCATTAAAAAATTGAATCAACCTGCAATAGAAGATAGTGAAATTAATACTGAAAATGAAAAGATAGAGGAAGTAAATAATTCTGAAACAATTGACAACTCTAAAAATGAAGAATCCAGCGAAAATGATATTGTTAAAGATATGAAAAATATACCAACTGTTCAAATTGAGACAATTGAAAATGTTAGTAATACAGGAGAAATTGGTGAAATTGATTGGTCATTAAAAATGGAAGAAGTTATCTACATAAGTGAATTTCTACCAGATGAAGAATCTGATGATGGAAGTGATGAAACTCCTACCATAAATGTAAGATATTAATAACAAAAGTTTTGTTCTCATTGACAATATGATTATTTTTCTCTGTAGGAAGATGAAAATGAAAGAAATAGAGAAGAGAATGGAATTGATGATGAAAAGGAAGAGAAAGAAAAGCCACAACAACATAATGCTGAGGAAGAAGTTGCAAAGAAGGCATTAAGTAAGTAACATATCATATTTACAGTATTTAAAATTGTTAAAAAAATGATTTTAAAATATTGCAGACTTGCAAAATGCATTCAAAGAAAAAGATTACAAAAAGTTAAAAGTAGCTATAGATAAAGCATCTGTTAAGCCAATAAATCCTTTATTACTTAAGGATTTATCAAAAGCTAATGAATTAAAAGCAAATTTGGAAAAAATACGTGGTTTGCAAAAAAGAATTTTAAAACTTGATGCAAAGTGTATAGCAGAATTAAATCAATACAATCAGCCACCAACTGTTGTACATCTAGTCATAAAATCCACACTATTGATTTTATCAATTGGTGAAGTACAAACTGATGAATGGAAAGAATGTCGAGTTTTTATTAAATATACATGCTCTAATTCAATTTTAAAGAAAATTAAAGCCCTTAAAATCTTGAATGTACATCCAGGAATTATTTTAAGAGCTCAAGAAATAATAGATGAGTTAAATATGAAAGAAGTTATGGAGGCAAGTGCAGGTGCAGCTGCATTCTATTTATGGTGTAAAGGTAATATTGACATTTATAAAAAGATTAAGAAAGATGAAATAGGAAAATCACAGCCAGCAAACAAAAAGAGTCAGAAGAATATCTTTTCATCTGCTTAAAAAGACTACTTGAAGGTCAATAACTGTACAATATATTTAAAATTTTTAATGAATATATTTCTAATATTTTTTCATCTAATATTTATGGCACGAACTGTCCAGTGGTGAACTATCCCTGAACATCTAACTACAACCTCGTATTTAATACTGCTAAATAAATATCAACTTGCAACAAATACTAATGAAATGCTATTTATTAAAAACTATAGATATTGTTAAAAAAACCACAGAAAAGAAATTGGAATTGAGTTTCATTTTTTTCTTTTTCCTTAAATCTTTTATTCTTCAGTTTGAGACAAAGAAAGAAAACAGGACTGTACACTTATGAACTATAGTTTATAGATATTTTATACATGATACTTGCTATATGGTAGAAGTGTTGAAGTAGATGTTGCCTCTAGGGTATATGGTACCGAACTGCCAGAATCAACCCCTTTTATAGGCAAAGGATAAGATGTTACATAGCAAACATGTTGACAACAACAACAAGTGTTTATTTACATAAATATGATGTGAGAATTAACCCTTGAGGGGTAACCTACACAAAGTTGTTGTTGTTTACATCACTATTGCATAATATGATTGTTGTGAACAATCCTTATCTGGGGTTAGACCCTTGTTGTTGACAGCCAAGGCATAAACAACTGATAAGGAATTGTATAAAAGCAGGGCGTAGGCAGTAACAGGCATTCAGTCCTGAATCAACTCCCTTAGTGAACAGGTCTAGTATTACTTTAGAATGGGGCTGACAGAAAACGTCCCCAAGTGAGATTTTTGAAAGCAACATTTTGGATTGAAAAATGGTTAGGGTGAGTGAAGTAGCCATTGATTTGTAGTTAGGGGGGTTCCTTCTAAGGGTTAGGGGTAATCAAAAAGGTTACGGAGTGACAAGGGCTAGTTAGGGTTAGGGTTAAATCATGCATTTGGGGACGTTTTCTGTCATAACCCTTTAGAATACAGTTATATTATTCTTACGTTTTGGTTCTATATTCATCCTCCCTCAATTCTACATCTCTCTTCTAAGTGGCTTACTCCTGGTTCGGTTCTATTTGGACCAGTACTTACCTACAACCTCAGCAGGAAAGTACAAGGACAAAGAGTTTAAAGGATTAACTAAAGAATCCAAGTTAAAAAAACTCAAAAAAGAACAATTTTACTGCCATATTTTTAAGTTGATATATAATCTTATTGCCAATCTGTGATAAAGTAATCTGGTGATAAAAATATAGGTCAACAAGATAAGAAACAGATGAATGAGCTAATAGAATACACTGAAAAAAACAAATAATGAAAATACTGAATTTCCCCTCTGTATTGTTAATAAAAAGGCACTTGATGTCTAACTCTAAAAAAATCATTCAACTCCAAGTTGATCCTCTAAAAAGATAAAATTGAATAAAATTCAGACCTAAGTTATAAAGTGGACGACATGTATATATGGACACCATAAATTTTGATAGGCCAATTTTTAATTAACTGTTAAAATTGTTTGTCCTCTGCAAATTAGTATTTTTTGTCTAAATTTATATAGAAAAAGAGTTAAATTGACATAATATTGAAAAAAATTTAAGAAAATGATAATATTTTGTGAACATTATTAGCAAAAATTTTTAATAATTTTCATAAGTTTCTTCTTTATTTGGCTGCATGACATGTTTATTGGAACATTGAGTTGACATCCGGTTTGACATTCAAATAGACATCTCAAACAAAAAATTTTTCAACTTTTTTCCTGTTTTAAGTTAAGTTAATTAGCTATTGAATATTAAAAATTACTGTACATAACTTATATTGTATTTTTTTAATTATGGTTTGGAGTCAAGATATAAGGGATTTGGTAATCAAGAAATATAGCGAAATAGGGAAATTAAGGGCAACAGCAAGAGTTTTAGGAATGGCACCATCATCAGTTAGCAACATATTGAAGTACAAGCAGCCAGAACAAGACAATAGGGGAGGTCTGAAGAAGCTTTCTGACAGAGAGATAGTGAGGATGAAAAGAATTGTAAAGAAATTGAAAGATAACAAGCAAAGAGTGACAGCAGCAAAGATATTAAAGGAATTAGAAGTAGATGTAAGCATCAGAACAAAACAGAGGGAGCTGAAAAGACAAAATTTCAAATATAAAAAAGTCAGACAAAGAACTGATCTCACCTTCAAAGACTGTAAATGCAGAAAAGTGTACTGCCTCAAAGTTATTAGTGAAAATCTAGACTGGTCTAAGGTTATTTTTACTGATGAGGCTAGATTTTAGGACTTGGACCAGTAACTGCTAAAGGGACTTCAGTGTCACAAAAAATATGGGGAGAGGCAGAGTATTGGTGTGGGGGTTGATAACTTCTGATGGTATATTTGAAGTCTGGAGGATAAGCAGCAAGCTGAATGCTGAAAACTATAGCTCCTTCATTGTGGAAGATGTTCTGCCTGTCATAGAAGAAATTAAGGCAAAAATGGGCAAGCAGTACATCTTCCAGCAAGACAATGCTGGCTGTCACACTGCAAGAAAAACAAAAAGGGCCTTTAAAAGCAATAACATCAAACCCATAGATTGGCCAGCAAGGAGCCCTGATCTGAGCCCAATAGAGAACATGTGGCATCTGACCAAGACAATGGTCTATGATGGTCCACAGTTCGAGACAGAGGATGAACTGTGGGAAAAGATTAAGAAATGCTCCTATGAG